ACTGCAGGTTAAAGTGAGCTGTGATCATGCCACTGCACTCCAGCCTGGGCAACAGAGCAAAACTCTGTCTCTTTAAAAAAAAAATGTATTTTAATAAAGAAAAATATATCCTCGTGAAATCTAGTAATCAACTATTAAGCTTTAATATTAAAGAGAAAACTACAGCTAGTTCAAAAGAAAATGTGGCTTTCAAAGGCAAAGCTAACACTCTTAACATCAAACTTTTCAATGCAACCCTGCATGTCAGAAGACTGTAAAACATATTTGCAGTCTATAAAGAGAAAGAAACTACTATCCAAGAATTCTGTACCTGACCAAGATAATGTTTGCACACAAAACAAAACAAAAGGTTATTAAGAAAAGTAATTTTATATTTGTAGAGACCTTATACAGTGCCTGACAAATGTGTTAAATATATTTGTTAAACTAAAATAAAGATAGGAAATATAAATCAATCAAAACCTGAATATTTAAAAATAAAGTAAATTGACAAATTTTTAACAAACTGGTTAGATCTTTTTTTATGCTACAAGAGTAGAAACACTTTTAAGACTCAGGACAAATAAGAGTACATGATTGCAAACATATGAACCTGAGAACTGGCAAGCACTTTAGGGTAGGGCTAGGACAACCAGATTCCCAGAGAATCTAGAGACCCTGGAAGCCACAAAACCTCTAGTTCCTGGAAGGGAGAGTTTAGGTGCAGCTGCTCCCAATCCATTCCCAGCTGACACGGCCAGAGAAACCTTGGATTCATCTACGAGACAATCCCCCTTTTCATTGCACAACATCTACCCTACCTTCAATAAGCAAGTAATTCCTGAGTCTCTCAAGTTATTTTGTATGGTTTGGCTGTGTCCACAGCCAAATCTCGTCTTGAATTGTAGTTCCCATAATCCCCACATGTTGTGGGAGGGAACCAGTGGAAGATAGTTGAATCATGGAGGTGATTTCCCCCATACTGTTCTTGTGGTAGTGAATAAGTCTCACGAGAACTGATGATTTTATAAGGAGTTTCCCCTTTTGCTTGGTTGTCGTTTTGTTTTTTTGTTTTTTTAGGTGTGTGTCTTTTTTGTTTTCTATTTTTAAATGGAGTTTCACTCTTGTTGCCCAGGCTCAAGTGCAATGGTGTGATCTCAGCTCACTGAAACACTGAAACCTCTGCCTCCCGAGTTCAAGTGATTCTCTTGCCTCAGCCTCCCAAGTAGCTGAGATTATAGGCGCCTGCCACCACGCCCAGCTAAATTTTTTGTATTTTTAGTAAAGACGGGATTTCACCATGTAGGCCAGGCTGGTCTCAAACTCCTGACTTCAGGTGATCTGCCCACCTTTGCCTCTCAAAGTGCTGGCGTTACAGGCGTGAGCCACTGCACCCAGCCAGTTCTCATTTCCTTCTGTCTAAAGCCATATAAGACATGTCCTTCACCTTCGCCATGACTATGAGGCCTCCTCAGCCACAGGGAACTATGAATCCATTAAAACTCTTCTTTATAAATTACCCAGTCTAGGGTATGTCTTTATCAGCTGCGTAAAACCGACCAATACACTTTTCCTGTACATAGAGAAAATGGAAACTGTTGAATGAAGTAAGCATAACCTTAAAATAAAAGCCTGTCGGAGATACATCTATACATATATATAAGTTTCGTTTAGGGATATACAGTGTCAACAAATTGAATCCAGCAGTATGTCTTAAGAAATACTACACAATGACTATACAGGATGAGTCAACATGAGCATATCTATCAAAGTAATTCATTACATTAAAAATAAAAAACACTACTATCTAAAAAGAGAGTAAGACACAAACTCATCACTCATTTCTCAAAAATTTTTAAATAGCAAAATAATTCAAGGAAATTGTTCTGGACAAGATATATACTATGCAAGGTACAAATATTTACCAGAAATTATCACAAAAATTATTTACATTGTAAAATATTAAGAATATCTCTACTATAATCAGGAATTAGAGACATTTATGTAATTTCTAATAATCAACATTTTTAAAGCCTACTAATAAAACAAATCTTTATTTGCAAATAATATGCTCTATACTTAGAAAATCTAAGACTCAATACCTAATCAATTAGCTCAGAAAAAGATTTTAATACAAAAATGGGGAGAAGGAGTCTTATTCACTGCATCGAAAAATATGATACAGCTAAAGATAAGCATCATCAAAATAATCTCTATTTTAAACCATAAAATTCTACCAAAGAACAGAACACAAAACCTAAATAATGAGACAAAATAAAAATATTGATTCTTCCCAAATTAGTATATAAATTTCATCCAATTTTCAACAAAATTTTACAAAATTTTTAAATGGACAAAATAAATCAAACATTTGTTTGGAAAAATAAAGGCATGAGGGGTGTCAGGAAACCTTTGATAATGAAGATTAGTCACAGGGGATATACTCTGTGTATTATTAAAATTTATTATAAAGCTATAACGTGGTACAAACATAGGAATAGGCAAACACATCAATGAAACAAGTTCAAAAGTCAAGAAATAGATCCGAGTGTATATTGAATGAAACTGATTTATGACAAAGTTGATAAGTCAATTTATTGGAAGAAAAGTATTCAGTAAACGTTACTGGAAAAAAATTATATGATCCCATAATCAATTCCAGATGGTTTAAATAAATAAAGGTAAAGACAAAATACTAGAAGAGAATATTGGAGAACAATTCATAACGTGTTAATGACAATGACCTATCCAAAACAATACAACAAATTCATAGCTATAAAGAAAAAGATTGGCAAATTTGATTACATAAATTATTAAAAACTTTCAATATTGAGGAAGAAATCCTGAATGAAGTCAAAAGATAGCATATTAGTTATAATAGGGTAAATAGGGTTGAATTATATATATGATATTATATATATTAATTATATATTATAAAATTACATTAATTATATATCAATGTATTATATAATGTATTAATTATATATTATACTATTTATTAATATATGTACTACATTAATTATAAACATATGATTTATATATGTATATTTTTAAGAAATAACCTAATTTTTTAGATAAAGAAACAAATGACTGAATAAAAAATATTTAAAACTACATATAGAAAAGATATTCAAGCTCACTAAAAATCAGAGAACAACAGGATAACTTTCAGATATCATTTGACAAAATTTAAGATGACTCATAGCATCCAGAGTGTAAAAACATAGCTTAAGCGGGAGGTGGGGAAGGATAACATGGAGAGAAATGCCAAATATAGTATGCACCTAAAGTTAAATAAATAAATTTTTAAAAATTAAAAAAATTTACAAAAAAAGAATTATTGCCTACATTGTTGATAAAAGTAATAATAGACAATAATAAAACACAGTTAACTTGAACAATGCAGGTCTTAGAGGCACTGACTCCTTAGCAGTTGAAAATCCATGTATAACTTTCTTGTTATACACATGTTAAGGGGTAGAATTGCAATTTTGTTACATGGTTGTATTGCATAGCCAAAGTCTGGGTTTTTAGTGTATCATTAGCAGAATAATGTACATTGTACCCATTAAGTGATTTCTCATCTTCCACCCTCCTCCCACATCCTACCTTTTTGAGTCCCCAGCATCATTCCACACACTATGTCCATGCGTACACATTACTTAGCTCCCACTTATAAGCGAGGACATGTGATATTGTCTTTCTGTGTCTGAGTTGTTTCACTTATGATAATGGCCTCCAGCTTCATCCATGTGGCTGCAAAATACATGATTTCATTTCTTTTTATGGCTGAATAATATTCCATGTGTATATATACCCTCTTTTCTTTCTTTTTTTTTTTTTTTTCCCAGAGTCTCTCTCTGTCACCCAGGCTGGAGTGCAGTGGCACGATCTGGGCTCACTGCAACTTCCACCTCCCGGGTTCAAGCTATTCTTATGCCTCAGCCACCCAAGTAATTGGGATTATAGGCATTCACAGAAATACCCAGATAATTTTTGTTTGTTTTTAGTAGAGATCAGGTTTTACCAGGTTGGCAAGGCTGGTCTCAAACTTTTGGCCTGAAGTGGTGTGCCCACCTTGGCCTCCCAAAGTGCTTGAATTCCAGGCGTGAGCCACCGCGCCTGGCCAGCACATTTCCTTTACCCACCTATCCACTGATGGACACCTAGGTTGATTCTATATCCTTCCTACTGTGAATAGTGCTGCAGTAAACAGATAAGTGCAGGTATCTTTTAATCCCGTGTATAACGTTTTACTCCCCCAAAACTTAACTACTAATGGCTTGCTGTTGACTGGAAGCCTTACCAATAACAAACAGTCAATTAAGACATCTTTTGTATGTTATATGTATCGTATACTGTATTCTTACAATACAGTAAGAAGAGAAAAAATATTAAGAAAATCATAAGAAAGAGAAAATATACTCATTATTCGTTAAATGGAAGTGGATTATCATAAAGGTCTTCATTCTTGTCCTTGACCTCACATTGACTGAGGCTGAGAAGGAGGAGAAGAGAGTTGCTGCCTTAGGGGTGGCAGAGGCAGAGGAAAATCTATGTATAAGTAGACCCATGCAGGTCAAACTCATATTGTTCAGGGTTAGCTGTATACACCCTTTGACCCAGCAATCCTATTTCTAAGAATATATGCTACAGAAATAAAAACATTAATATGGAATGCAACATTGATTTGTAACAACTGCTTAAATGTTCATCATCCAGGTGATGATTGAAGTCATTAAAATGAATGTCATAGTTTTTTTTTCCTGGTGTTCTTAAAGAAAACTAGTTGATTTTATTTATATACATACTAGACATTTTGTAAAGGAATAGAAAAAGTATTCATACCAAATTATTGTCAATAGAAAGGATTCAAAACTTGACGCTCATTCTAACATCTGAAAATGGAGTAAATGCTAAAATGTTAGGATTAGGTTAGAGACAAAAAGGAGCAATCTGCTAATTCTTAAGTTGTTGTAAGCCATTTAATTTTGTAACCAAAAATAAGATTAAGCAAGAACAAAATCTAGATCTCCTAGAAAAATAAAATGAGTAGTTTTAATTATCTCAAAAAAAATCTTCTAACTCAAAAATATTTTCCACTCCACTAGGTTCAAAAAAAAGTCAACACAAGATTTGTGAGAAACCATATGAAAAAATACCGCTCCTTTCAGTCACATGGAAAAGCAAGATAGGTATATGAAATAGCTATTTCGCAGAGCTATTCAGTAATAAATGCAAATATAATGAAATAAAAATGTATTCATAAATTGCCACTGGAATGTAATACTCATTTGTACTGAAGTTACTCAAAAAACTATTTTGGGGGGAAAAAAGCAATAGTTCAGAGTGTTTTGCATAATCTTCCTCACATCCCTTCACCTCTTCATCTTTCTTAAGACTAAGTTGTGGCCATGACGTCTTCCCTGAACTAATGCTTCTGGTCTGCATTTTCTCAGCAAGTTCTTGGCACACCAACCTCACTTTAATGTCAAAGTTCTAGTACTGTAGTCTTAAACTGTTTCTTAACTTTTCTTCCAGATATGAACTAGCTTGAAAACTCACAGAAGACAAAAGTTGGCAGTTAATCATTGCACCTCCAGAGTCTTTTTTTTTTTTTTGGGGGGGGGGGGACGGAGTTTCGCTCTTGTTACCCAGGCTGGAGTGCAATGGCGTGATCTCGGCTCACCTCAACCTCCGCCTCCTGGGTTCAGGCAATTCTCCTGCCTCAGCCTCCTGAGTAGCTGGGATTACAGGCACACGCCACCATGCCCGGCTAATTTTTTGTATTTTTAGTAGAGGCGGGGTTTCACCGTGTTGACCAGGATGGTCTCGATCTCTTGACCTCGTGATCCACCCACCTCGGCCTCCCAAAGTGCTGGGATTACAGGCTTGAGCCACCGCGCCCGGACAGAGTCTTTAACATATTTGTTTACTCAATAATTTGTATAAATGTAGAATTAATGCTTTGTCACCTCTGACATTTTACTGTGGTCATTTGTTTCTCATGCTCTAATACATTTTGGTATCTTCTCTGTAAGAACATCTCAAGATATTCTCAGCACTTTCCTTTAATGTCAGCATTCTTAACCTGTATTCTTATATTGTTGCATCAGTTGTCACCCACATAAACTCTTTATTCTTCCATGAACCTTTTACAGATCACCCTGTAACGTAAAATGGAAAAAAATCCTTTGATTTATCTCTTAAAGGCCCTCAGTAAAACAACTCCTCTAGGACTTGGATGTGCCCTTCTTCTGTATAATCTGTGTCATGATAAGGATGGGCACAAGATAAATGTTTGTCGACTATATGAAGGAAAAAGGGAAAGGAAGAAGAGCGGAAGGGAGGACAATAGGGGGAAAGAAAGGAATTCACTGCTACAGAAACCAAATAGAATTTTGTTATTAATATTATTTATTTAGCTTTCTCTCATCCTCCTTTAGGGTTTAGATAATCTGCCAAACATAGAAAACATAAATCCCTTAGATTCAGAAGAAAAATAATCTGTGCTTACTAGCATACTTGCAATAAATTGAAGCAGAGAATTTGGTTCCTGAGATTTCTTATTTTATTTTATTTTATTTTATTTTATTTTATTTTATTTTAAGATGGAGTCTCACTCTGTCACCCAGTCTGGAGTGCAGTGGCATGATCTCGAGTCACTGCAACCTCCACATCCCAGGCTCTTGTGATTCTCTGGCCCCAGCCTCCTGACTAGCTGGCATCACAGGCAGACACCACTACACCTCTCTAATTTTTGTATTTTTAGTAGAGATGGGGTCTCACCATTTTGGCCAGGCTGGTCTTGAACTCCTGACCTCCAGTGATCCTTCCACCTTGGCCTCCCAAAATGCTGGGATTACAGGCATGAGACACCATGCCTGGCCGGTTCCTGAGATCTCTATTCCAGCTGCCTACTGCTGCAAGCACTGGGTTTCGGAACCATGACCATACACTGTGGCACCCACACAGAGCTCCTTTCCAGCCTCAGGATCAGGTGTGGGGTAAAGATTCCTCAGTCACTGGACACAAGTGAAGCTAATTTGTCAAATCCTTTCCCTACAGCCTGAGTTTACCTTAACCCTGTCTTCATCTCCAAAAAGTGGAGAATCAGGAGCATATCCAGATTTTGAGGCTTAAAGCTTGGGAAACTGTAGTTATGAAAAAGAACACAAAATTCCAAATACAAAATTGGACATGCAGTAAACATCTCCATGGAGAAACTGCAGTAACAATAGTACAAGAGAGAGTATGCTATATTCAATTAGCCACAAATGTTTAAAGCAACTTTATTCAGATCAATGAAAGAAAAGTGACGAGTGTACACAACTATGTCAAATGGTGACTGGGCATTGCATCCACCTGCCCACCTCATGCTGCTGGCTCCACCAACTGCAAGCTAGAAAAAGAGTATGCCAAAGTGGCTGTGCCAGCCAGGGAAGAGGTCACAAGACCTTAGAGCTAACCAGACTGATTCTCTGACATTCTGTAGAGATACCTTCAGAACCATGAAAAACGGCTCCACCTGAAGCTTATCTTCAGCTGTGTCTCCTTTCAGAGGCAAGAAATCTTTTCATTTATTGGAAAATGTTTGTTTCCTCCTGATAGCAGCAGTAGAGGGTTACACCAGCACCCAGGCCATCCCATCTGTGGACACAATGGACACGCCTGTTGACACGGTTTGGGTGTTTTGTCCCCTCCAAATCTCATGTTGAAATGTGACTTCCAATGTTGAAGGCAGGCCTAGTGGGTAGTGTTTGGGCCTTGGGGACAGATTTTTCATGAATGGCTTGATGCTGTACTCACAGTAATGAGCACGTTCTCACTCTATTAGTTCACAAGAGAGCAGATTGTTTTTAAAAGCCTGCAACATTTTCCCCTCTCTCTTAATCCCTCTCTTGCCATGTGGTACACTGGTTCCCGTTTTGCCTTCCAGCATGATTGTGGCACCCTGAGGCCGCACTAAAAGCAAATGCTGGCACTATCTTGCTTGTACAGCCTGCAGAACTGTGAGCCAAATAAGCCTCTTTTCTTTATAGACCACACTGTCTCAGGTGTCCCTTTTTAGAAATGCAAAATAAAATAACATGCTTGTGTTTGAGGAAAAGAAGCATCCAGCAGTTTTTTCAAAAACTTGGGAGACGCTGGTCTATGACTAGTTGAAAGTCTACAAAATAACTCCAGCAGAATTGGCTCTCTGTTGAAGAACCTCAAAGCCCCAAAGTTTCGTAAAATAAGGACCCAGCAGGATTGGCTCTTTAATAAAGAACCTCAAAGCTCACCATCATGTTCATGGTATAGAGATGGCCCTTATGTCTAAGACTGGGGAGGAGGGTAACATGGAGGCCACATGCAGCCAGCAGAGTGTGGCAAGGTACAAAGAACCCTGGTACAATGATGTCCAAGACCAAGAGATGATAATTCTTGAGGCCCATCAAAAGGAGCCAGACCAAATGGGGACCAAGCTATTTCCAGCACAGCTTCCTTAGCTTTAAGTAACTAAAATCATACAGAATCAGAATGAAATGTTATTTTCAAATTTCCTATTCCATAGCATAATGTCTGCCTCATTATGCTATGGAACAGGAAATTTGAAAAGAGCATTTCATTCTGAAATGGATTCTGTGACATCAACTATACTGCACGGAGACTCCAGTCTCCAAAAGAGCAAAGCCCCACTCCACACCTGTGTTCCACAGAGCCACTAGGAGGGCTCCACCTGCCTCAACTACTGTCAGCCTTTAGTTCTGTTATCAAGCAAAAGAGTCTTGCTGCCCAATGCACTAGAAGCCAGTATTATGACACCGGGCTTTTGAGAAAACAAAAGCTTTATACTGCAGGTCAACGCACAAGGAGACAGGAGACAAGCACAAGTCTGTATCCCCCTGCTGGCTTCAAGGCAGTATTTGTATTAGAAAAGGTTCAGGGAGTGAATCCTGAGATTAGAAGGTGATTGGTGGAAGGAAAAGTGAGGTCTTGAAAGTCTTTGGGCATGCACAGTCATTTCTTCATGCTACCTCATGGGCCACATGTGCATCTTTGAGGGATATTGTGTGAAACAAGTAGTAGAAATTCAAGCTGTGATGTCAGCAAGCTCATTCTGCACAGACTCTAACTGGCCATATTGCTTCCAACCCAATTGAGCCCCCCTTTTTTTAATGGAGTCTCACTTTGCTGCCCAGGTTGGAGTGCAATGGCATGATCTCAGCTCATTGCAACCTCAGCCTCCCGAGTTCAAGTGATTCTTCTGTCTCAGCCTCCCAAGCAGCTGGGACTACAGACACATGCCACCACATCCAGGTAATTTTTGTATTTTTAGTAGAGATGGGGTTTCACCATGTTGGTCAGACTGGTCTCAAACTCCTGACCTCAGGTGATCCGCCTGCCTTGGCCTCCCAAAATGCTGGGATTACAGGCGTGAGCCACCACGCCCAGGCTGAGCCAATTTTTTCTTGAACTCACAAATTAAGGAAGTTTCCCTATTTCACCAAGTTATTTCCTTTGTTAGTCTGCTGTACTATAAACTCAACAACTTGAGTTAGTTAAGGTTTTTTTACTCTTTGAGGCATGCTTCCAGAGTTAGCTTTTCAGCAAGTTGGTTTTTTTTCTTATCGGCTATCCTATAAGTTCAAGAATTTAGTCATTGGTTTCTTTGACTCTTTGAGGCATGGTTTCACTTTCCCCAGGCTATTACTGAACGTTACATTTTATAACGTCTGTCAGCAATCGAATAGGAAAAGCCACCATCTAGACTTAGCAGTTCCACTTGTAACGATATTCCTCAGAAAAACTCTCACATATGTATTTTAAGCAATTATGGAAATACGTGTATCAAAATTTATGAGAGCAAAACACTGGAAATAGCCCCAATTATTCAACTAAAAACTGATAGATTATGCTGTGCTGTGGGATACTATACAACAGTAGTGGTTATATACATTGTCATGGAGGGAGCTCACTATTAAGTATAAGATGCAAGTCACAGAGGGACCCCTGTGTTATATATATTGATAGAACAGTTCAAAAACAAAACCAACCTATTTAGGATATATATGTGGTAGCATTAAAGGAACACAATTATGTCTAGGGTGGATGGAAGGGAGATGTCATCAGAATAACATTTCAACAGTCTCAGTAGTGCTGGAAATTGTTCTTGCTCATAAACAAGGTTGTACGTACTCAAATATTTTAGTATTTTCACATTTTAACATTTCTGAAATCAGGAGGATTTTAAGAGATGTAGTTGTAATTGACATAGAAATTTTAACCACTTTCTTCTAGTAACATTTTACTTTCTCTTTGTTCACAGTAGGTCAAAAGTCTGAAAAATAATTTTTAGTAAATATGAAATAAAAATACAAAGTGACAAGAAAAGATGTGGCCATAGGTTGTGGCCTTGAACTTTTATGTCAATTACCACATCTGCATCTGCATTTTTACTATGGAACATGACACATCTCACATCAAAGGAGACCATCCAATGTATTTTCTAAGTTGTCTTTAGCCTTGAATAGAGGCTTAAAGGTAATATTCAAGAAAAAAATTTGAGTATTATTTTGGCACAAGCAGGCAAATAAATAGCTGAAATATTGCTCATAGTTCTGTCAGACTTCCTAAAAATCTTAGTTTAATAAAAGAAGTCTGGGCATAGTAAGTGTTTACTAGAAAAATGCAAAGCCAGCAACGTCCTGCTCAAGGTCACCCTTTCTCTCAGAGCATCACACATTGCCCGTCAAGTGTGAGTGAATCTCTTTTCGCATTCCTGAAAACCTTCATTTCTTTGACCACTATCCCAGCATTATAATAGAATTCTATAAAATGGGAACAAAACACTTCATCCAAGGGTTGCTCTGCACACCAGGGTTAAGAAGAAAAGAAAAAGTGAGAGACCTTTTCCTTAGCCCCAATCCAATGTGTTGCTTAATGTCAACAAGATAAGCTCAAATTTCATTCCATTTCACGTCAATTCAAGCATAAAGACTCACTCCCTGGTATTTTAAGTCTGCTTTTCATTTAGTGGTAAGATCCCTAAAGTAGTAGAAAGTAATTGTTTGTTCACAAGAAAAAATGAAGAGGAGGATACAATTGACAAGGACAGGAGTGGAACTGGGAAAGCACAAGTGGGGGAAAAGGGGAAAAACATTTCTGAAGATTTTCTTTGTCCACAGATGCAAAGAAAAAAATGCACCAAAGGCAAAACATATTGATAGCTCACTTAGAAACACTCAGTTGAGCTGTTGAAGTAAATGATTTTTTTTAATTTTTGTAAAAAACGTTTGATTTCTAATCAGAAGTCACCTGAATATAAATCCAGTGCCTTCATTCAAGTGAGCCACATCTCTGTCAACCTTAAATAAAGTTATACTGAGTAAATACGTGAGCTACTCAATTTCATAGCCAGTCAGTTTTCAAAGTCAAAGGGGAAATCATTATTTCTCTTAAGAAAAAAAGGGAGGGGGGAGAAGAAGAAAAAAGTGCTAGGCTTTGTTTACAAGGAGCAGTGAAAAAGAGTAAAGTCACATAGAAATAAGGTAGACAGCGATGCCTGCTACACAACCCGCCTGTGTTATCGAGGAAAAGCCTCATTATTCGATTTTATTGGAAGAATTGGAACATAATGTAGGAAGTGGACAGCCACTCAGAATCCAACACAGCATCAGCAAAAAGGTTGTCCCACCATCCCTAAGCAGGATATATTTATTAATGTTTTTTTCTTATGCTCTACCCTTAAGACTCAAACATTCTCCTGGTGTCTGTTCTTCCTACTCCTACTGCTGTGCACTCTTTGTACTGTATTTTAGTTAGCTTTCACCCCTTCATAGTATCTGCTTGGACTCACCTGTTTTCTTTTCAGACATCAAGTCACATGATAAAACTGCTGCAGAATCACCGATTGCCTTTCTGCATAAATAGCAAGCTTCCCAAAATTTTCACTGGCCAAAGATTCACACCAGGACAACTTACGAGGTTCTGGCCAGGCTATCAACTGGCCTCTCTAACGTCAAATGTCCATTCTTGGTCAAATCAGTTGTACAGGAGATAATGTCACATGATAGACGCTGTTAGTTCTACATACAAACCATCTTTCAGAACATATATATATATATATATATAACATCTTCCATCGTGCAATTTCACACTCTGGTTTCCCCCGGATATCATAACACAAAACCTCAGTTAGCTTTTAAGGCATAATTACAGGCTCAATATTTGCTTCTTTTAACATTTTAGCCCATATCTAGTGAGTCTCTATGATATATAAACTAATATGCTAGGTCTTGGGCAATGAAGGATGGGAAATAAAACATTCTAGCAGAATAGATACTGCAACCAAACCAAAACCCTAAAAGACGGCATGAAGGAAAAAATGCCAAGCGTGGAAGGGACAGCATAAGATGACCTAGAAGAGGCTACACACTAGAGTCAAGCAGACCCCGGTTCAAATTCCAGCTTTCACTTTTCCCAGCTGTGGATGTGGAACAAGTTGTTTAATGTTTCTAACTTTCAATATCTCTTCTACACAACAAATGGAATAATCGGGCCTAGTAAGGGAATCCCAGGATCTGTTTTGAAAGGCTCGGATGAAGACATGCACACACACGCAAACACATATGCACACAGCCTTGACACTGCCATTACGAGCTCCTAATGATATTCTAGGAGCTCATATCCCAGGAGCTCAAAAGTCATCTATAATTCTTAAATTATGCTCTGTAATAAGAGGGAAAAAAGCCTTCATTCTCAGTCAAATCCAGAAAAATA